TAAGAACGTAGCTGTTAGTTTGATAATTTATTATCATAAGTAAGAACGTAGCTGTTAGTTTGGATAATTTATTATTATAAGTAAGAACGTAGCTGTTAGTTTGATAATTTATTATCACAAGTAAGAACGTAGTTGTTAGTTTGGTAATTTATTATTGTAATTAAGAACGTAGCCGTTAGTTTGGTAATTTATTATTATAAGTAAGAACGTAGCTGTTAGTTTGGTAATTTATTATCATAAGGTAATTATTATCATAAGTAAGAACGTAGCTGTTAGTTTGGTAATTTATTATCATAAGTAAGAACGTAGCTGTTAGTTTGATAATTTATTATCATAATTAGGAACGTAACCATGTAGATATAGAATGTTGTAAATTGAGACGTACTTTGTAACCATGTAGATATATAGCTAAACCAACGGGAAACAACTTAGTGATTAGCTAAGTAAGGCGATGAGATTATATTGTTTCGTATGACAAAAAAATGGTCAATAGGTATGTGGTGAAAATGTACTTTTAATAATATTTTATGTTTTCATCTAACCTACGACGCCACACACAGAGGGCGCCACTAATAGTGAATGAAACCTCGTAATAAATATGAAATACAACTTTTACAGCCTGAAAATAAAACGTTTTTTTGTTTTATTCTAATTAAATTTTCTTTGCGGTCTGTATTTCCCGATTTCTTAATTAAAAAAAAAACTTTATTTTCGTCAACGATATTTCAATTAGTTTCAGAAACATACCAGTAGAGGATGTGTGATGAAAATTGGATTTATTAAATAACGTTAAAATCTGTACAAGCAGCGATGAATATAAAATAACAAATAACGATTCATATTATCTTACAGTTCAGTTCAAATTCAGTGCATATATTTTGTCTTATATCCGTGTGGATTCACTTAACTTCCACACCTTATAAAACAACCTTCAATGATTGTGGGAAGAAATGAAACCAAAACCAGCTTATGTAAAGTATTAATAATATATTTAAAAAAAAACGTTTATGTATTCACTACTGGATATAAGTCACTCGCTAATATTCAAGTTGCAGTTCTTAAAATCTATCAAGTTTAGGAAATTGTGAATGTGAGGGTTTAAATCCGATTACATCTAATCAAAGACAAGAGAATATCGAAAAAGACTAACCCTAATATTTAATTGAATCTATAATAGGGTTAATAGAGTGATATCTAGAGGGTAAAAGGTTAACAATTGATATGCATACAGAATGTCTATTCATATAACTACGCTAATAAGATTTTGTACTAAACTTTGTCAAACTCCAGTAAATATTGACAGTATATTTCTTTGTACCTTATATTTTATGTTAAAGATAATATTATTATTTTACGTGTTAGACTCACGAGGTACAAGTATAATATTCAAAAATACGGTGGAGTTAAAGGGCCATATTCCTTCTTATCTTTTTATTCAGAAAAGAAACGTCAATTTAAATTGTATTTCATTAAATAGGGTAACCCACGTTGTTGTTATGGTGAGCTTCTTCTTCTTCTCTCTCTCTCCCCTCCAAAAAATAAATAAATAAATAAAATACAGCACCCGTTTTTGTTCAAAACCTCCATAAAAATGGGAGTACACTCGAGGTTAGAACGTGCGCCCAAATTTTTTATTTAACGTGGACAACCAAGCGCATATTCACGACAAGAATATAACACTAGTGCTTAGTGCTTTTCAGATACACAGACATTGTTTTAGTACGTTTTTCGTTAACTAGTTCTACTCAAGAAGTTATGGACATAATACCTTATTGCTTCATATTCTCCATTAAAATAACGTCGTCATGACAACCAACCCTACCGGTGCATTTTCTCCATTAAAATAACGACATCTGTCGGCGTATATTCTCCATTAAACACCTGAAAATAACGAAATGTGTCGTCACGACAACCAACCCTATAGGTGCCTATTCTCCGTTAAACACCTGAAATCAACGAAATGCGTTGTCACGACAACCAACCCTATAGGTGCCCATTCTTCATTAAACACCTGAAAATAACGAAATGTGTCGTCATGACAACCAACCCTATAGGTGCCTATTCTCCGTTAAACACCTGAAAATAACGAACTATGTCGTCCTGAAAAACAACCCTACCGGTGCCTATTGTCCACTGCACATCTGAAAATAATGAGATATGTCGTCATGACGAGTTAAATCAGTTTTATTGCTTAACATTCTGTAATACACTCCAGAAAACAACCAGATACGTCATAGCCAAGACAACCAATCCTAAGGTTCATATTTTCCAGAATACGCCTACATATAATCAACTACAGTATGTTGTCATGGCGACTATTTAAGCCAACCTTAATGCCCTTACAAGCACCAACGGGCAACACTAAACCATGTTCGATACCATGTTAACTTGTCATTGATCTGTAAAAGGACAAGAACTGGAATCACAATATTAGCGTTAGCTTAAGTACTGCTCACTCTAAGTCAGAACAAAGGTTATTAAGAACATTATTACATACAAACAATCAATCCTGAGAAGTCAGTAAAATGATTCAAAATATCGAGATTAAACAACCACAAATAAACGTAATCACTGGAGGCCAGTTAAGTAACAATATAAGTAGAGATATAAGTTTGTAGTAATGTAAACAGAAGCGTAAGTTTGTAGTACTACAAACAGAAGCGTAAGTTTGTAGTACTACAAACAAAAGCGTAAGATTGTAGTAATATAAACAGAAGCGCAAGTTTGTAGTAATGTAAACAAAAGCGTAAGTTTGTAGTAATGTAAACAGAAGCGTAAGTTTGTAGTAATATAAACAGAAGCGTAAGTTTGTAGTACTACAAACAGAAGCGTAAGTTTCTAGTAATGTAAACAGAAGCGTAAGTTTCTAGTAATGTAAACAGAATCGTAAGTTTGTAGTAATATAAACAGAAGCGTAAGTTTGTAGTATTACAAACAAAAGCGTAAGTTTGTAGTAATGTAAACAGAAGGGTAAGTTTGTAGTAATGCAAACAGAAGCGTAAGTTTGTAGTAATATAAACAGAAGCGTAAGTTTGTAGTACTACAAACAGAAGCGTAAGTTTCTAGTAATATAAACAGAAGCGTAAGTTTGTAGTAATATAAATAGAAGCGTAAGTTTGTAGTAATATAAACAGAAACGTGAATTTGCAGCAATGTAAACAGAAACATAGGTTTGCTGTATTCACACGATACTTCTCTCACGCGAAATGTTTGTACACTAAAATTGTCCTCTGTGCCGGGTTGTAGCCCAACAGGAAAATTATAAAGGCACTTTGATGATTGCAGTTGAGCAAAGAATATGTGCAGTTTGCTGCCAAGACTATCTCAGACACAGACTTGCATTCCAGTGCATGATCACGTGACTGACGTTAACCATGGGCCATTTATTTTAGAGTACAGGACCGCACTGTGAAAAACTAAACCAGTACCGATATATAGAAGCTAAGCCTAAAATATTGATATAAGAACTTGCAAAATAATTAGATAAGTTAGAATTAGATAATAATTCACTGCTTAGATGAAGCATGGGTTCACTAACGTTAGGATGAGAACCATAAACAAATTCCTCAACTAATGGGTTCTTTATACTTATGCATGATTTACTAAAATTACGATGATAACAGTAAACAGCTTAATAAACTAATGTGTTTAATAGCATTAAGAAGATAACCCTAAAGAGCTTCACAAATTCAAAGTTTCACTAGAGTTAGGAAGCTAACCCTAAACAGTTTACTAAACTAATGGGCTAGCGTTAAGAAGCTAATCCTAAACAGTTTACTAAACTAATGGGATAACGTTAGGAAACTAACCCTAAACAGTTTACTAAACTAATGGGCTAGCGTTAAGAAGCTAATCCTAAACAGTTTACTAAACTTAATATTTCACTGGAAGATAGCCCTAAATAAATTCTTAAATTAATGGGTTAGCATTGGGAAGCTAACCCTAAACAGTTTACTAAACTTAGGGTTTCACTGGATGACAGCCCTAAATAAATTCTTAAATTAATGGGCTAGCATTGGGAAGCTAACTCTAAACAATTTACTAAATTAATGGACTAGCGTTAGTAAGCTAACCCTAAACAGTTTCCTAAATATATGGATTCATTAGCATTACGCTGAATTACTTCCTAAACTTATGGTTTCACTGGATGATAATCCTAAATAAATTCCTGAACTGATGGGTTGAATACAATTATGATGATATTCCTGAACAGTTTCGTAAAATTATGGGTTCGCTAATATTATCAATATAACAGCTTCCTAAACTAGCATTATGATGATAGCCCTAAACAGTTTCCTAAACTGCTAAAATCTTTTTATAGCTTCAACACCCGATAAAAGATTTGGAGACTTGAAAACATAATGAATATGTATGTGAAAATAACAGCACTTAAATAACTGTAAATAATTTGTTTCTTGTTGAAGAATTTTAGCTTTAAATAATGGTTTCTTTTTCAGAAACATATTTCATGAAATACTTACTGAAAGTAGTCTTAAAGATAAAAACAAAATCAAATGCTGTACAAACATCTTAACATCTTAGCAGTAACAGCGCCATCTATGTGAGGTTTTACAAACCTGCATATTTTTCATACACTTAACTAATCCTGGAAAAGCGTGTTAAGACAATCATACACATAGCATAATAAAATGAAATATTTGTCAAAACGAAATTTCATACAACTATTTCAATACACACACATTTGTTTTTTTTCTGGAACAAAACAAAATCAAAAATCTTACAGTAAGTTGATTCCAAGTTCAAAAGTTCTTAGTTTTTGCAATTGGAATTCACCGAATTGTTAAAAAAAACCGTAAGGTCTGTGCTCT